AACGAAAACGCTAACCCTTCTCCCTTGCAATCAATTTATAATCTAAGTGAATTGGTTGTGATTTAGCATGTAATCGATTAATGTTATTGGCTAAAAAAGTGAACCACCCGTTTGAAATATTTTTGTCACATGGTGAATTGGTAACAAGAAAATAGAAAGACCTAGTTTACGTACTTTCATGGGCTGGGTCCAAGGGTCTATTACGGGCCTAATCTCTTGGGCCTTCCAGTTTCTACCCTACCAAGTCCATCTGCACCCGACAGAGCCCAACATTTCTTGGCGGTTCTTTCCCAACCGTTTTATAAAAATATAAAAAAAATAAAAATGAATTTCACGCGTCAACGTGTTTTTCAACTTTCTCCATATACGAAACAGTTTCACTCCAACCCATCGCAAAAATCCTTTCCCTCACAACCTAGATCCGGCGAGACGCCATTCGCAATCCCCAACTCCCACAACCTCGGATTCAATCCAGAACCCAAAACGCAGAATCCTCCGCCATGGTTTCGGCGTCTCTCAAAGCCGTGACGCTGACTTACGTCCAGTACCAGAGAGGCGACCAACTGGGTCACTTCCTCGCTTGGATTTCCCTCGTCCCAGTATTCATCAACTTCGGCGGCTTCTTCTGCCACTTCTTCTTCCGCCGTGAACTCCAGGGCATGTTCTTCTTCGTCGGCCTTGTAATCTCCCAGATCATCAACGAGCTCATCAAGGATTTCTTCCAGCAAGCTCGGCCGGAAAACCTGCGCTATACTCGAGATGTGCGATTCGCACGGGTGGCCGTCGAGTCACTCGCAGTACATGTTCTTCTTCGCCACATACTTCACCCTCTTGACTTACAAGGGGATTGGGCTCTGGGACACCAAGAACAAGTTGGCGGTGGTTTTTCTTCCATGGGTTCTGGCTTTGCTGACTATGTTTTCGAGGGTTTATTTGGGTTACCACACGGTGGCTCAGGTGTTTGCGGGATCGGCTTTTGGAGTGTTTCTCGGGGCGGTGTGGTTCTGGGTTGTGAACTCTGTGCTTTACCGTAGCTTTCCGATGATCGAAGAGAGCTGGTTTGGGAGGTATTTTTATATCAAGGATACTTCTCATATACCCAATGTGTTGAAGTTTGAGTATGATAATGCGCGGGATGCGAGGAGTAAACTGGCTGCCAAGATTAACTGAATTGATGAAAGCTCATTCGGGTATGTGCGATGTAACCATTTCTGTGCGTTTTTAGTTCCTGAATTGAGCTATGGAAGTTATGCTAGAGATGCTAGATATATTCGTTTGTTATATGTTTTGGTGAGCTATGATTGAACGGAATGTCATTGCATTATCTTAATTGAGTGTTGCATTTTTATTGATTAGTTGATCAAGTAGTGATTTGGGTAACATTAGGGAAGAGGGGCTCACAGGTTTCTAGCATTTTGTTGTTGCTATGGACTGCGCCTGAATTTTTGTGGCTTTGTTGCTTGAACGCTATGCTGTCCATTTTTCAAGTGCAAACCTTGTCGGTTTTGGTGTTAATTTAAGTCGAAGTAAGTTTCAAAGGATATTCCTAGAGTTTTGAGGAAGTTGGAATCATAACCGTTCAGGGGAGGGGGGACTTTAGGTAGGGAAGTTATGACGATACACAATATAATTATTTGTAATCTAATCCCATAGAAATTGTGACAAAATACTTGGTGAATGCGTTATCTATGTGGTTATAAAGATAAGCTTCAGAGAAGACCCTGTTGGGGTTATAAAGAAAAGCTTCAGAGAACACCCTACAGCCCTTTAGCTTTAGAGGGTGTCTAGCTGCAAAGCTGACATGAAATGCGTATTTAGATCTTAAAATTATTACCCACAGTTGACTTAATGACTTAGTATTTATAACTGTTCATGGGATAGTAGGGTTGGGGGAAGAGTGTATATTTTTTCAATTGGCGGAGGCAGTTTCTCTATACCTCTATATAGACTTATAACTGCAAGATATTGTAGCTTTAGTTTTTCGTTCTTGTCCTCTGTATTTTGGTTTTCTTTTTCCTGAAGGAGGTCTTTGTCTTGAGGAAATTGGTTCACTTTGTCATAACTCGTGAGATCATAGTTATAAATGTGCTTAATCATGGCTGTTCGATATAGTTTGTATGCTGTAATGGGGCTTCAACTTCACCCATTCTCATGCTCTTTTCTAAACTTTAATGGAGATTCTTTACTTGGATTGAGTGTATGTGTTTATTGTTCAAAGATTGGTTCCAAGCAATTTAACAGAGTTGGATAAAGAATCTCTATTATCATCTACCTTTCTATCCCACCCACCGCCCTGATCCTCAATCTACTTTAGACTAGCTTTCCGAAATTTCACTTATGGTGTAGGGTTTAGGGTAAGAGTGCTGAAAGTTATGTTCCATAATCCATTAAGAAACTACATTTGTCCGAACAGTGAAATGCTGTAGTACAGCCCATTTTGTTTGTTTATTTATTAAGGTGTTTACTAAAGAAATTTGTCAGTGCTGCTTTCTTTCCAATGGCATCCCACAATCCAGATAATTTTGTGACAAGGTAGGTCTGTATCAACGACATAATGGCGGAACTTTAAATTTTTTCCATGGTCATCTGTAACGATGAGAAACAGTGACATCAGAAAATCCAAGTTGAAGAAACTTTAGGTTTTGTTGAGAATGACAATGTGTTGATGCCTAATAAATATATACTTGCGTATCTTACATAGTAAGTAACATATATCACAGACTAGCAAATTGGAAGTTGTTGAGTCCCCCCCTATCCATTCGATTCCATAGTTTAAATTTTGCTTTCTTGTGCCATGGATGACAAAGCAATATTATGTTATTCCCTTTCGATCATGTGGACAATTGCCCTTCATGTTACAGAACTCTCCATCATTTTACAAATGTTTGCTCTGCGTCTCTGTGTTGTGGTTAAAATTTAAACCTTTTGATATTCACATTTATATTATTAAATGCTCTTTTTTTTTCTCTTTTCCAGGTAAGTTGCTCAAGATTTCTGTCTAATTATTCGGATTTTACTTGTATGGAGGAGATACTATTCCGTTTGTATTGCTTGATTCGAAAAATAATTAAACTAGAAGCCAGTTGGACGGATCATTTGGAGTTTAGACTGCTCTTATGTATTAGAGAAGAGAGTGCGTTGTGAACGGACTGTTATAGTTGAGATTCTTACCCTATGTTGACAATTTTTTTACAATGTTTGTTCAGCACACAATATTCAATAGAAGTTGCGTAAATTGTTCAGGACACTTTTCCAATTGCATGGCTCATGAATTTGTGAATGTTTTATGGTTCTCTAAGGATCATAATCTAGTTGCTTCACATGTAACTTGTAGGCTCAACAACACTATTTCACTTATCAGCACTACTGCAGTAATTTATGTTTTCGACTTCATACAACTCGGAACTCGGACTTCCGATGGAATTCCTTGGAAAACTTTTCTTTGTTCCTTCATCTGATAAACTTCATCATTGTGCCATGCCATGGAGGACAATGTCTTTCATGTTTAAGAAAAACTCAATCAACTGACAAATGTTTTACTCAGTGTCTCTTACTATAAGCTCGTTAGACGCATCGTTTGGGAGTTTAAACTGCTCTTCTGCATTAGGAAATATAGTAGGTTGTGATACTTGGAAGTTCAACGTACCAAACGAGGCCTGAGTTACTGTGTGCTGGTAATTTTTTGCATGTTTGTTCAGCACACAATATTCAATACAAGTTGCGTAAATTGTTAAGCACACTTTTCCAATTGCATGGTTCATGAATTTGTGAATGCTCTAGGAACCAATCGGCAGCCATATTCCCGTTAAACCAATTGGATCGTTGAAGTTCAATGTCGTGTGGGTTCTACAACTAATTTCCATTAAAAAAAAAAAGAGTATCCCTCTCCTTAAAAGGTCTATAAAATATAATTTAAATAGATGGTTGGGTTGACATCTCAGTGCTGACTAATGACTACATTTAAATTTGAATAGATTGGAAAATTTTCAAAAAAGGAAACCAAATTAATTGTTTTCCCAAACTCGACAGCGGACAGCCCGTGAAAGCGGGAAGCACGTGGAGCACCAGAGAGGTCCGAAAGCGGACAGGGCAACGCTCCTCGTGGAGGTAGGTGCGACGCTGGGTAAATTGGTAATTACAATGTTTGCACCTGCAGAGAGAGAGAGAGAGAGAGAGAGATAGCTGCCATTTCTTCAGTTCCAGTGAGAGTGTGAGACACAGTGAAGACTGAAGTGCCTTTTTCAATGTGGCAATTATTCGCCGCAGCTGTTGCGGCCTCCACAGGGCTCCTCGCCGGAAAACACATCTTTTTCAAACCCACCGCCGATACCGATCCGCCCGCCGATCACAATGAGGACACTGCCTGCACAGGCCCCTACAATTTCTCCGTCGCGTCGGCATTTCAGTCTCAGCCGCCTCCCTGGGAGACCAGCGACTTCGAGGAGCAACGAGAAGGGACGATCTTTAGGTTTTCGAGCGAGGCGGCGTCGGGTCGCGGCGGGAGTGGGACGCGGTTCCGGTTGAGGAAGAGAACCGGTTCGATCAAGAAGAAAGGGGTTGCTGCTGAGGCTGAGAGATCTAACGGTACAGAACAGAGGAGGACTGCAAGGAGAGGTGTTGGAGTTTGCTTGAAGAGGAGGAAGACTGGGAAGAATGTAGCTGCTACCAAATGTGGATCGTCTTCTTCCAAAGGTTAGCTTCGCGATTTTCCCTCTCTTTCTTGCTTCTGTTTGGTTGCTGAGAAAATCTCCCAATTGTTTATGATATTTCAACATCAGTGTCCACAATGTAGGCCCTGGATTGCTTTCTGGGTTTATTTTAATTTGGGATTTTATGAAAAGCTTTCTTTTGGAAAGTTTTTGTTGTTATATTTGATCGTTTTTGAAGTCATACTTTACAGCATATGTCATCCATCATTACCCAACAATCAACATTGGAAAAGTAGAGTTCTCTGAACTTGTATATCGGTTATCGGATTAGTGTTGAATATCGTTGATGAGCCTTAAAATTTTCATTTGACATCTAATCGCTTTTGAGAAAGCATTCGGTGGACCACGGTTGTTGTTTTGCTACAAAGCCTATCTAAACATATCGAAATCTCTCATGTGGTGATTTGTTTAGTATTTCACTTCAACATAAACATAGGGCTATGGTCTTGGAGGTTCTGTTTTGTTACATATTCGTATTTCCTGCAAAAAGGCGGTGATGCTGATTGTATATTATTGCAATTCTGTTTGTCATGTTCAGATAAGCTAATTGCACAAGTTCCAGTAGGTTACGTTCTGCAGGCTGGCTGCCGCAGCCTTATATATGAATTCTTACTGATGGTGCTTAAGTTGTTGCCAAATGATTAAATAGGGTTTTATATTAACGGTTGAGTCCGAAGTAATTTCCAAATTCAAATGATTAGGTGGTCATAGTTGTCAGGTGATCCTTGAAGTTTGCTCCTGAAATTCTAATTAAAAGTTGAAACCATGAAAGCGTTTGATCTTTATATTGCGATTTTAACTCCACACATCCTCGAAATGCAAAATTGGTATCCAAGTTTTGATCAGCATTTTTGTAGTAGTCTTCTAGAAGCTTTTCCTTGGGCGTGAGCCTGTGATGATTTTGTTAAGTCTGTTTTTGTTTTAGAGTCACAATTTACAAACATAATATTCGTGATTCTAGGAGTTTAACATTTCAATCTACTTCTTGTTTTATACTATTCAGATTCAACATTATTTGGTTGGGGACTTAATGTTGGGATCATGTACATGATGTCTGCTGGAAAAGTTGAGATCAATAAGCTGAATACAGCTATGGATGAGACTGCAAGAATTGTGCAGGAGTTAAAATCTGAGCTTCATAAAAGAAAATCACCGCAAAATCTGCAAGTTTCGGGCTCTGCAGGTGAAGCCAATACAACTAGTTGCACGCTTACTCAGCCAGAACTCAACAAGTCAAGTACAGAAAACAGAGGCCCCAGTCATATGAAAATGTCCAGTTTTACTGTATCTGAGGATGGTGAATGTGCTAGTAGTGTTCTTACAGAAGAGCAGGAGCCACATCCTGAGGTTATGGACATGGATCAGTTGGAAGCAGAACTCGAGTCTGAACTACAAAAACTTCCATGGTGTGCCATGGATACTCCTCGCCATGATGGATTGAGTAATCTGGGCCAGGTCAGTCTTTTAAGGTCATTGTATTATTCTTCAAATAGGTTGATTTACCTTACAGAGGTGTGCCTTTTGCTGGTGCTAAAATCTACAGCTAACATTTGATGATCAAGTGTAGGTTATACAATTTAGTAGTGTTTTGAAAATGTTTGGATGCCAGTTTTGCATTCTGAGTTAAATATAATGGATTCTGAACCAACACTTTGTCCTAATTATTTACCAAGAACATAACAACTTTATCCTTATTGGATTGCACAATCTTCAAAACTAATCACCGCTATGATTTTAAGTAGCAAATTTGATGTAGCAAAATTTGGCAATCATACTCTCTGTATATGACTTGATCATTTTTTGATATAAGGATTGTAATTTTGTTCCCTTTGTTGGTCGACAAGTGAAAAGGCTAAATGCTATTGTTAATGCTTAAATGGTGAACTTCACGTTCAAACTCTCCATATTACGATTAGTCAAGGATTGTAATTTTGTTCGTTTTGTTGGTCTACGAATGAAATGGAAAATGCTGTTGTAAATGCCTAGATGGTGACATTCACGCTATGCCAGCCTACCTGATTTTCCCCTTCAAATACCATTTCAGGACATTGTCTCTGAAGTTACAGCTCAAGGGTTTCATGACCTAGAGGGACAGGGTTTGGATACTGAGCAGTTCCACGGAGTATTGCCAGCTCAACTAGATCAGAAACTATGCCATGTGCTCATTGAACAGCAGGAGAGCCAAATTGTGGAGCTGGAATCTGAACTGCATTCAGCCCAATCAAAACTCCAACAGAAAGAAACTGAACTTGAAACATTGAAGGACTGTGTTAAACGCCTAACCGAGTTATCTCTTGGAAATATCTCAGGCAAGAATTCATATTTGCCTTTCAAGACCTTTCCCATTTTCGTTAGTTAAATTTTCATGCTCTATTTGGTTATCCGGCAATGAAATATTTCTCCAGCACTCTTAACACAAAACATTGTTCCCCAGATGACGAAAACGAGACATGCATTGGACAAGAGCAGAGCATTGAATGGAACTGCAACATGGAGGGATGTGAGTCCACAAAACCAATGGTTGGGATGAAACGACCTATTGGTTCCGAATCCTGCAGTTACAATGCATGATGAAACTGTCTCGTATAAGACTTAATGCCGTTGTAGGTAAGTATCTTTTGTTGCATAGGGGTATGTGTGAAGGTATGAATTCACTAATTTTATCGTCGTGTAGGCCCTACCGATCTAAATCAACCGATCTAAATCATAAGAGCCCTACATTTCCTGTGCTGTATGAAATGCTATAGTTATTAGTACAGATTGTGGCACCCTACATTTCCTGTGTTAACAGTCTCAAAACTTGGCAGTTGCTTTTTCTTGCATTCTGCAGCCACATGTAATATTAAGTTCTCAAATGCTTATTAGGAGGAAAATTAATAAAAATGATTTGAAAACTTTAAGTTTTAACAATAAAGATAAAATAAAGGGTAAAGTAAATGATATCATAATTGATTTTTAGTGTAAAAATGTGATTTTTCGTTAAAGTAAACAGTAAAATGAGCTTTTCGATAAAGTTCCTATTATTATTTTGGTAGGAGACCCAGTCACGTGGGAATTACTATATTGCACCTGATGAGACTATAGGGTGGTATGAACTGGGTAGGGGCAGAGATGGGAAAGTGAAAAAGTGTAGTGTGAGACTAATGAAAACTCTAGTGGCGGTGGTGGTCGCAGAGAGAGAATCGATAGGAAATGTAGTGGAGCCATTGAGTGGCGTGTTGGAAGAGTTTGCCTTTCCCTTTCCTATCGAAGATGATTTTTTTTGTGGAACAATGTTTGGCTACTTAAAGATGAGTAGAAATTCTTACACAAAACTCTTTGTGTTCGAATCATAGAGCTTTGTTCTTATAATCTGAGCCGTTTATATTATGAATCTTTTTGTAAAGATCATCCTTGCAAAAAAAAAAAAAAAATTAAAACTAAAGTTGTTTGATCATTCTATTGTAGCAAATCCCTTTGACCAATTTCGTTTATCTGTTTTTATACAATTCGATGATTAAATAGCCTTAGTTTTAATTGATTTTTTTGTAGAAGCGATATTTATTGAGTGATTTATAACATGAACGGTTCTGATCATAAACACGAAGTTGTAAGAATCGACTACGAACCGTTTTGTATAGGAAGTCTTACTCATCGTTTGAGTAGTTAAATATTATTCTTTTTTGTGTGTACGTTTTGAGTCTCTTGCAAAAAAAGTAGTGTCGGAGTGGCGGCTTTCGACACAATAATTATGATTCCCCATCAAGGAGATACATCTTTATGCAATCGGAATTCTAAGATAGCAGTATCTTAAGTTTATCGTGTATTGCTAGTCAGTCATGTGTTTTAACTTATTTAACATCGTGTGATTGGATTTATTGATTTCAAAAGAGCAATTTTCTTGAGTTTTCATTGTAGGTTACCATATTGGAGTGATTTGTTTTGATTCATATGTTTGTCTTTATCTTTAATTGGAAAGGTTAAATAGCACAAATCCACCATAAGGTTTTGTCATAGATCAATATTACTTACTCAAGTGGTGACATTTTGTGGTTAAACTCGTTGTCAACCTCAATCTAATTCGAGCTTTACATCTTAATTCTCTCTAATTTGGACAAATATGCGCATCACTTACACGGATAATCGGGTTCCTATTAAAAATGATCAATTTAAAAAAATGAAATACAAATACCTGAAACACTATAGAATTTGAACGGAGACTTGTATTTAACTTGTTATTGGTTGAGCTTTAACTATATTGTCTTTTGCGTACGCGTTCTTACAACCAAAAATCCAACGTTCACACATAAATCTAATAGGTAATGATTTCTGCCTTGAAATATAGGCATATCATTATCGATCACTATTCAATAGTTTTGCTAAGCAAAAGTCATCTTAGTGGACAACCTCAGCATCAAGATCCAACGGTCCACGTTGCATCAAGATGTAGAGCACGTATGCACCATATTTCATTCACATGGCCACTGCACCGCGTACGCTTCCACAAAATCGAAAATCCCCAAAAAATAACAGTTAAAATAATAATAAATTAAAAAAAAAAAAAAAAAAAAACTGGCCGAGAGAGAGTGAGAACCACTATTCACCCATCCGTTCAAAGATTAAAATACCAAATTTCAGACACAAAAAAAATTCAAAGAAAAAAAAACAAAAGTAATCGGAAGCTTACACACAGAGCTCTCCAGTCACCCATTCCCCAAAGAGAAAGAAAGAAAGCAGCTTTCTTTCTTCTGAATCTCAAAAGCCTGAGGAAGCAAATCAAATCCATCGTTCATTCGGATTGTTATTGGGTTCGGACGGAAATGAAGCTATCTGCAAAACCCATATCGAGTCCGGGGCGGACGGACAAGTTTCCGCCGCCGTTGGTGAGGTTTCTGAGGACCAACGTCGGGAGAAGAAGCAGAGGCCGGTTGCGTTCGAGCCCAATGTTCGTGAGGAAGAAGAACGCCGCCGCCGCCGCTGTCGAAACCCAAGAGCCGTCTTCTCCTAAAGTCACGTGCATGGGGCAAGTCCGAGTCCGGCGGTCATCTAAGCAAGGCGGTTCGCGGACCGGAGGAGCCAGACGGGCCACCGGAGCTCCGACCCGACGAAGGTGCAAATGGATCTCAAACGCCCTGTTTTGCCGCCATTTTTCCGGGATAATCAAGGCCAAGTCTTTTCGACCCGTTTGGCGCAAATGGGTACCGTTTTTTCAACTGGGTTTTTGTAGAAAAGGCGAAATCAAAGAGGACCCACCAAAGATTGAATCGAAATTTGAAGACCCAATTGAAGGTTGTTCAGATGAGGAAGATTTTATCGAAGAACAAGAAGACCAAGAATTCGAAAGAAAGGCCAAAGCTTTCGTCTATTCTTCTTCTGCCTCCACGCCGCCGAAGAACGCTTTGCTGTTAACCCGATGCAGATCTGCGCCGTACAGGACGTCGTCTCTGGCGAGCAGATTTTGGGGGTCGCCGGTGAGAGCCGAGGAAACAGAGGCACAACAAAAACCTACGTCAGAAGGGGAGTCGATTTCGGGTCAGGAATCGAGATTGGAATCGGAGAGCGAAGAAAAGTTGGAATTTTTCAGGGAATTGGAGAGCGAAATTCGAGAGAGAATGGCGAAATCGGCGAGCACCGAAGATAAAGACTGGGATTTCGTCGGGTCGGGTCGGCCGCTGATACTGACGAGGTGTAAATCGGAGCCGGCGAGAACGGCGGCGGAGAAGCTCGACCCGGAGTTGTGTTTCTGGAAGACGAGAAGGTTGGGAATAGTTGACTCATGCTCACCCAGTATTTTGTGATTAATTAATTATTAGTCTCACTTAATTCTTTTTTCTTTTTGGCAGCTGGATTAGTGAAAACAGGGTAAAACGATCAAAATTTTAAACTAAATTTGCAAACTAAATGATGCATTATCAATATAAGATAAGCATGTTAATTAATAATTAAGTAATAATTCAATCATAAATAATCACATCATTTGAATTGCACATTTAGTTTAAAATATTTAATCGCTCTAACTAATCTGTCAAAATATAATGTGATCCGTCAAAATTTATTGTTATGAACGTAGTAGTTTCTGAAAACGTAATTTTCAGGAAACACATCTATTTTTGGTTCAATAATGTAATATGAAGTAAATAAAAGCTTATAGGAAGTATAAATGTTTTTTTTATCATATTTTTTATATTATATTTGTAATATCTTTTTAATAGAAATGAAATCTACATGTACTGATGAACTTTAGTTTTATTAGAAGGGTGGTATGAACTGTAGTATGTATGTAGTAAGTGTAGCATTACACATATTTTATTACTGACCAAAAATGTCTTGATAACACGTCGTATAACACAAAACCATTTGTTTTTAGTTTTTCAGTGTCACATAATTGGTTTGAGATGCAGTAACTTTGGCCTTTCGTTTCATGTAAGTTAGCTAACTACAAGTAAGTTGTAGAAGCTTTAGTAGTTAGAAACTTTTTCTTAAATCCGCTAATTTCCGAGTTTAAACAAATTTCCTTTCCAATTAGTGTAAAATGAGGGTTGTGCTTTAAAAAAAGAAGTTAAGCTGCCTACAAAATTTTATATAACCTTACGCATTAAACGGACATAAACCCTTAATATAAAACAAGTTAAGTACTTTTTATTGTCTGTGTAGCGTTCATCCAAATTAATTTTTGCAGGTTTTTTTGTATATTTATTGTCTGTTTAGTGTTTTTGTAGTTCTACTTGTGCGTATTTCTTGGTCATTAAGACTGATGAGGCATGAGTAATGAGCAACACCCCATGGACATGGTCCATTTGGACAGCTTTATTAGTAGCGTCTTTAACGCCAGCCAATGGATTGAATACAAAACTCAGTTTCTGTTCTCGAGTCTCGGTTCTCGGGTTTTTAAAGCAAACGCTCTAGTGAATGACGATCATCTCTGAATTTTCTTTGTAGGGATCTAGATGATCAATTGATTGTGTTTGTTTACATGGTGTTATTAATTTTCGTTAAATACTATTTGTGTTCAATTTTCAATAAAAAAAATTCAAAATAATTCTTGGTCGTACGATATATAATGAATGAATACGATTGATTGATCATTTAGATCCTCACAAAGAGAATCCAGATAGGATCCTAATCCGTTATCATGAAACCGGTTTCGAAGAGATTTTTTTTAGTGTCGTCGGAATATGGGATTGTATATTATGTATCGCTATACAAGTGATGAGATGTTTGTGTTAAAATATTAATAACTTAAATAATAAAACTTTCAACACTTATAAAACATGTGATATACTAATCGTGTTCCGAGTCATAACTATTCAATAGAGCTGTGCGAATTAGCAGAAGAAAGAAAGAGTTGAGAGAGAGTTTAGAGAAAGAGAAAGGAGGTAAAGCTTTTGATTTCTTGTATTGAATGCTAATAGACTCTTACACTATGGTTATATACTAACCATTGTTACAACTACAAATGTCTATGTTGCCCTTCAACTAACTACAATCACAACTAACTCAAACCATTACATATTGACAAGTGTCATCATCTTAGCATATCTATTGCTCCCACCTTAAACTTAACTAGGTGATCCTAGACTAAGTTTGTGACAGTGTCGAATAAAAACTGGGTTGTGAAGTCCCTTAGTAAAAACATTTGTCACTTGTTCTTCAGTTGAAATGTATTGAACTTTCAAATCACCCTTTTGAACTTTCTCTCGGACAAAATGATAATCCGTGTCAATATGTTTTATTCAAGAATGAAACACAGGATTCAAAGTCAATGCTAAGGCAGAAAAGCTATCACAATGCAGACATGGAGGTTCTAATATAAGTTGATGAATGTCTTTTAGTAATGACCTTATCTAATACACATCTGCAGCACAATGTGAAAGAGCTTTGTATTCTGCTTCTGTTGAGCTCCTGGAAACAATGGTTTGCTTCTTTGATTGCCACGAAATCGAATTAGAACCTAGGAATACCACAAAGCCAGTTATTGACCTTCTTGTGTTAACATCTGCAGCCCAACCTGAATAGGCTGAAATGTTGAACTCAGAAGACCTAGTATACCTCAATCCACAAGTCAAAGTTCCCTGTAAGTATCACAATATTTGTTTGACCAAATGATAATGAAGCTCTGTAGGATTGGTCATAAACTGACACACCATATTAACTGAATGTGCAATGTCAGGTCTAGTAAACGTGAAATATTGTAAAGCTCTTACAATACTCATGTAATGAGTTGGATTTGTAAATGGTGTGCCTTCATCTACAAGCAACTAATTATGTGGCTTAGCGGGTGTAGACGTAGGTTTGCAAGTCTCTATCTTGAGAAGTTCTTTTACATACTTCGATTGGTTAATTAACAACGAACAATCTGTTTCATATTGAATTTGTAGTCCCAACAAATATGTAAGTTGTCCCATATCCTTGAGATCAAATACTTTAGCAAGACTTGTAATTATGGACTGAACTTTTGTAGGATTAGACCCAGTTAGGATAATATCATCCACATATAACAATAGTAATATAATATCACCATTGTCAACTTTAATAAACAAACTGGAATCAAACATTCATGTAGTAAACCCAAGTGCAGGTAGGAAACTAGAAAACTTCGAATTCCAAGCTCTGGGAGCTTGTTTAAGGCCATATAGGGATTTAACAAGTCTGCAGACATAATTTGGGTACTTTGAATTGACAAAACCTTGTGGCTGCTTCATATAAATCTCTTCTTTAAGATCACCATGCAAAAATGCATTTTTAACATCTAATTGCCTAAGATTCCACCCATATTGAGCTACTAGTGCCAAGATTAACTTCACAGTTCTATGTCTCACCACAAGACTAAATGTTTCTAAGAAATCCAACCCTTGCTCTTGACTCAACCCTTGAGTAACCAGTCTTGCTTTGTATCTTGACACCATACCATCAAGATTCTTCTTAACATTGTACACCCACTTACTTCTAATAATTGCCCTATCACATGGTGGAGGTACCAGTCTCCAAGTTCCTTGTGCCTTCAAGGAATCAAACTCATCTTGTATAGCATGTTGCCATTGTTTAATCCCTGAAGTAATTCTATAACTCCTTGGTTCCTCAATCTCATGAACATCAGCCAAAAAAGAAAAACCATTGATCTGACATATAGGTTCTGTAGTATCCGTTATATCTGTCACCTGTAAAGAATGCAACTTTGGTAATGTAGCAAGTAGTGCTGCATAATTTTTCCTTGATATAGCACCTGTCTGTAGTCTTGTTTGTATACCTGTAGGTGTTGTGACATTACGAGATAGATCCACAACACTATGAGAACCACTATGTACGGAAGAACATTGAGATATAGGAAGTAAGACCTAAAGTTGAGATGGATCCATGACATGAAGCAAAGGAGATGTATCAATGTCTTGAGAAAGAGTATGGCTTGAAGAAGTCTTTTCTGCAATTGTACTTTGATCTCTCATAGTAAAATCTCTATCATTACCAAGACATGAAGAACTGCTACTGAGTTCATTCACTGAGTGAGTTGAACTTGTCCTTAAGTCAATGTGAGTATCTTCATTCACAGTATGATTAGAAAATGGAATAAACACAGTGGATGGTGCTGTTGACTGTCTCACTGTTTTATCACACTGTTTCAGAAGAAATGGAAAGACAGTTTCATCGAAAATCACATGTCTTGGTATTTATATTGTAACAAATAACACCTTTATATCCCATATAATATCCCAGAAATACACATCTTTCAGTTCTCACCTGCAATTTATTTGAATTATATGGTCAAAGCCAAGGATAAATTGCACTACTAAAAATCTTTAATGCAGTTAAATCTGGAAATTTGTCATACAACAACTTGTATGGAGAATTCATTGATAAAGACTGACACGACATTTTATTGATTAAGAACACAGAATGAGCACAAGCTAAATACCAGAATTCAGGAGATAACCCAGCAATTGTCAACAATGTGAAAATTGTCTCAATAATATGTTTGTGTTTCCTCTTAGCAATTCCATTCTACTAAGGGGTGTAAGTACAAGAGATCATTTATTGTATTCCTTTAGATTTCAGAAAACCATTAGAAGAGTTGCTTGTATACTCTTCTCCACCATCACTTTGAAAACATTTGATTCTTATGCCAAACTGAGTGACTATCATATGATAAAACTGTACAAAAATTGTAAACACATCAAACTTATTGCATAGAGGATATATCCAAACAAATCTTGTATATTCATCCACAAATGTTACATAATATATGTACCCTTCTAGAGATTTTACAGGTGATGGACCCCAACCTTTGATGCCACACATTTGACTTGACTAGCTGACCAAGAAAAGCATTTGAATTCTGATAAACTAATTGCAAACCTTGAGACTAATGAACAACTGGTATATGAAACAATTCTTGTGGCCTATTCTTTCCTTGATACAATACCTCCCTTGTCTTATTGTCCTGCACAAAGAATCGAGTTTCATCACAAATGAACCAGCTTACATTATCAGCACACAATTGTTTAACAAATAACGGACTCTTAGCAATTTTAGGCACTTGTAATACATTCTTTAAACAAGAGAATGAGAATTTGTGTTAAGAGATGTGGATCCAATATTTTTGATTGACAATTCAGAGCCATTGCCAATAATAATCTTGTTAGAACCTTCAAATGGTTGCACTTGAGTCAGAGAATTGATATCTGCAGTTATATGGTGAGATGCACCAGTATCCACAATCCAGGAATCATTTGGATAAGTCTATGATGTTTGATGTGCTGCCATGACATTTAGAGAAGGAGGTGGTGGTTGTCCTTGGTAGGAGTAATTGCCTTTGTGAAAACAATCCAGAGCTGAGTGTCCCCATCTTCCACAAATCTGACGTTCCAGCAAAAAACCCTGAGAAAAAGATCCATTGTTCCTTTGAAAATAATTGACTGTTGTATGACCCATTTTGTTGTGAATCTGACACTTAATAACAACATTAGTTTTATTCTGAGTGTTACCAGACCAAGTACTACCATTACTGCCCTTAAAACCTCCAGTATTAAACGTTTTTCCTTTGTAGCCACCAGTATTTCTAAAATTGTTATTTCCCTTATGTGTAGACCCATTTGTAGGAAATATCTGACCAGAATTATAGTTATTTCCCCTAACAAAACCATAACCATATGGCATTTGATTAAAAATTGGAGTTGGTTGAATCAGTGCAAAATCGAAAGGAACATAAGCTTCTGGAGGAAATGGCATTTGAACTTGAGGCATTGGAACCTGAGACATTGGAACAAGCGCAAAATTATAGTTATAAGCACCAGGAGTAATAATCCTTGCAATCACAGAAGGAATATGACTGTGCCCTTGAGGATTTGAAAATGAACCAGAAGATCGAGATGAAGTGTTTGTAGAACTAGAACCTGGACCATAAAGAGCAGACACATGTTGTGGAAACAAAGACAATTCCCTTTCAAGTTATTTCTCAGCCCCAAGAAGTTGAGCTCAAAATTCTTTCAAAGTAATTGATGATTCTCTTGCTAAAAGAACAGTCCTAATAATAGCATACTTTTTTGGTAAACCAGCTAAACCAGCTATCATTACATCATTGTCAGATACAAACTCCCCTGTAACACTGAGTTGTTCTCTTATACTTTTCAATTTCAACAAATACTTATCTATAGAATCATACCCTTTTTGAATTGTATGGAGCTCTGTCTTCAGATGATTCACCCTTGACTTAAACACAGACGCATACCTATCAACCAGATTAGACCAAGCTTCACATGTAGTTCTACAACCAAACACATATTCCATAGCTTCATCAGACCACGTTGCTAACAGCAAGCTAAGTAAAGCCATGTCAGTCGATTCCCAATCAAGAAAAGCTTGTGTTACTTC